GACCAGACGAAATCCTTTTTTTTTACTCCTCCACCATCTTGCTCCACCCCCCCACCCTCTGAAATTTTTATGGCCTTTTTTTTACATAAATCCACTCAAAGTTTTATTTAGTCAAATTTTATAGTCTTTGCCTTTATGGATTCTGTTTTTAGTATTAGTCTTTATAGTACATCCCCACCTGAGGTTAGATTTACATGTTCTTCTAGTACTGGAATTTATGTGGTTAAATGTATGAGGTCTGTGTGGTTCTTTTCTTTTTTTCCCAAGTGTTTAAGTCCACTGTTTTAAAACCATTTATTAAATAATCCATCCTCTCTTCAACAGATTAGAAATGACACTTTAATTATATACTACAAACTGTCTCTCTCACACACATAAATGAGTGTGCATGTGTGTGCACAAACTCACACACACACATGCGCGTGCACACACACACAGGACTCTACTTGTAGACCTTCCTACACCCGCACTGGTTTGTGTGTCCACTCCAATACTCATATCACATTGTTAAAATTGTTTTAGCCAATAACATTTTACTATCTGGAAGAGTTACTCTTTCTTTTAAAATATTTTCTTGGCTTTTCTACATGTTAATTCTTCTAGATCAGAGGTTCTCATTCAAGGGCATGCATCAGATTTACTAGTGAAGTGTTCTAAAATCAAAGATGCCTGTTTTCCACCTCCAACGTGGAGAATCAAAACCTCTAAGGTGCTAAGGTCACTAAGCATTAATATATATTGCTACAGTGTGGAGGGGTTAAGAACGATGACCCTGATGAACTTCAGAATAAGCTTCTGAGGATAGAAGCCATATGTGCCTGGTTTCTGTTTATTCCCAGCCCCAGAGTCTGCCGCATGGTGGCATTATTCAATATACATTTGTTGAATCAAAGACTATATTATTTCCTGTTTATTTCTAACCAGCACCCTTACTTTGAATTTGGATTTCCAAAGATTATTCATGTTAGGGTAAGTTGAGGTAACAGTCCAGCCTGGTGAGGAATGTGAAAACATGGCATCTAAGGAACAGCTGAGCTATGTAAGAAGAGGTTCATGGGTCCAGTGTTTGAAGGGTGAACATGAGGAGAGGGGGCAGATGGATCTTATGTACCTCCAGGACACAGAACAAGGAAAAGACTTCCAGGAACACTTCATAGCCTATGAGGAGGGGTCAGATCTATCAAAAAATGACATCAGGTGCCCATTTGCTGAATGGGTTGGCCACCTTCCCACTGCTGGGGGTGTTTAGGCAGAAGGTGTGGTGCCATCTTGTGGGGAGCAATTAGACAAGATGTCTGCATCATTATGTAGGGTTTGACAGCTGATAATCTCTATGATCTCTTCTAGCATGGAGATTTTAGATTCTTAAAAATATTTATGGAATATATTCTATGATTCAAAGAGATGGGAAGCTTCTGGGAGTTTTCCTGTTGAGTAGAAAAATTCAGACAAAGCCCTGAGGTCACTACATAGTGAGATCCCCACTGAGGCCACCTTGACCTGAGGAACATGGGGCCCTGACCACGTCACATCCCAATACTTGCTCCAGGCCTAACCACTCACCCTTGCCATGGGATGTTTCGATAATCCAGGTGCAGTTCAAGTTGTTGGGGTAGAAGTCAGGAAACCCTGGTGACAAGATGGTCCCACTAGAGCCTTGAATGAAGCCACCGCAGAGTGCTATGGGAGTAAAGATGGTGGTGAAAGACTGGAGTGGCCTGGGGAGCCCCACCCCCACACCCCCAGCCCCAACCAATCCTCCTGGGAGCCTGGGAGCCATCTCCTCTCGACCCTCACTGATGGGTGGGAGAGTCAATGCCCCTTCTAGCTCCTGGTCTTTCACAGTCGGAAAGGAATCCACTACCTAGCATCCCCTTATGGGGTGTTTCTCACCTTCACAGCTAGGCAGGGCCCGGCTCCACTGGAAGTTAGGCTCACACTCCAGGGGCTCCCCATCACTTAACGTGTAGCCTGAGTCACAGCTGAAGGTCACTAGAGCGCCCACGTAGAAGTCATTCCCATGGCGCTGCCCATTTACGGGGATCCCTGGATCCAGACAGTGGTCTGACTGCAGGGTTATAGCTGGAAAAGAGAGCCCACAGCTGGAACAGACAGCTAACCATCACCACAGAAAGACCCCAGCTGGCTCACAAAGGGAGGGAGGAGAGAACCCTGATTTACAGAAAGGTGAAGTTGTCATTTACCCATGCATCAAGTGTGGCTGTCACTATCTGCTGAGAGGGTTATTTGAAGACCTGTCTGTCAGAGAAAACAAGCTGATTCTAGTATTTGTCCATTCATCTGTTCATTCAGTTCATATAAGTTGAGTATCCACTATGGTTTAGACACCACGCTAAGTCTTAGGGATACAGACATGAGTAAGAACATGGGGCTGTCCTCAGCGCTCTCAACCATCGCTTTCTCTACTGGTCTACAAGGAATGGAAATGACATCCATCTCGTTCAGTTGAGGCAGCAGAGATGGATACAGAAGGGGATGAGGGAGGGTGAGGGTGAGCAGAAGATGCCATCACACTTCAACCTCACAATCCTCAAACCCTCTGTCCCCTGAGAGCCTGGCATGGTGGCACCCAATCACCTGCAGGTAGAAGAGGCTTTGTGGTGTGTGCAGGGCATCAGCTTTCACTGTTTCCAAAGGCTCCCCTTTGAGCTCCCGTGGGCTCCGACCGATGCTGAAAGTAGGGGAGTGCCCCCCAGGAGCACAGCCTAACTGAAGAAGCCATGGGGATGGGGCTGAGTTGGGGGCCCACTGCTGGAACAGTCCTGGGTCCCTGCACCCCCCACAGCCCACCTTGTCATCTTCCTCCCTGCCAAGACTCACTCTCATAGCGGAGCTGGAAGCCGATGTCCGAGTGACTCTTGTCAGTAGAGAAGAGGAGGTAGAGGTAGTTGCTGGTGCTGATGAGGAACTGGGGGACCTGGGTCCCATGATAAACCCCGATCAAGGGCGCTGAGTATGTCCGTCCATCTCGAACTTCCAGAGTATCATAGTTGACCTCCGTTTTAAATCTGCCGAAGATGGGAATGTAGACTTCTTGAGAAACCTGAGGCTTATTAATTTGCAAATGACAAAAGGCCCTGCCTGACCCAGGGCCTCAGAACAGCCAGATTTTGGCAGGCTGGGACATTTTAATACAATTTGCACACATTCACTAGTAATAGGGAAGGGCCTTCTCTGCTGCATTTAGCCCCTCCCCCTCCTCCCACGGCTGGGCACTCTCTCAGTCCTCCCTGCGGTCTGGGCCAAGACTCATCTTAAGACCTAGGGGCACAATGACTAGCCTCATGGCAGTCAGAATGTTCTAGGCCAGAATTCAGTAAACTATAGCCCAGGGCCAAATCTGTTCTTTAGTCTGTTTTTGTATGGCCTAAGAGCTAAGAATGGTTTTTAACATTTATAAAGGGGTATGTTTTTAAAAAGCAAAAAATATGCAACAGATAACCACAGGTGGCCTACAAAACCTAAAATATTTACTATCGACTCTCATGGAAAAGTCTGAACAGTGCTATTCTAGGTCATGGATGCTTTGTCTGGAAGAAGCTTCTGTTCATATCTGTGTGACTACTTTCCCCATCCAAGGGGCACCCCTGGGGTGTGAGCGGGAAATGCGGCATATGAGCAGGATTTGGGTCAGAGGTCAGGAAGGCTGCCTTCCCATACTGCAAATTTCAGAGTTATGCTCCTCAGATGCCAATGCCTGCTTCAACATCTGATGGTGTCTATCTGCCCACTCTCCAACACTGGGGGTGGGGGGACAGAAGGGCTCTGACATCCCAAGTGATACCCCAGCCTTCTGTTCACTCCTCTGGTCATAAACAACACAAACCCCCCTACTGAGGTGAAACCAAGGCCAAGGGCGAAGCCTATGTGCCCTGTCCCCACCCACGGCAATTTGCTCCAGTCTTCTCTGACTTTGCTGACATTTCAGCAAAGGTGCTGGTCCTCCACCCTCAAACCCAGGTTCCCTCCCCCACCACTCCTAAGAGATTCTCCCCCCGCCACCCCGCTCTGCTTCCTCAAAGGCTGTGGTTGCAGGCACCTGTTAAAGGTGATTTTGATGGGGTAGCCTGGCTGGGCTTCAATCACCCAAGCACAGCTGAGGGCATCCTTGTAGAAGCCAGGCCAGCCCGGAGACAGGATGGTACCACTGGGCGAAGTCAGATGACCACCGCAGGGAGCTGGGGGACAGAAAGGAGAGAAGCAGCTTTCTCGGGGGAAGGGGCAAACAAATGAACAAACAAATAAAAACTCTGTCTATAAAATGTATCTGCCAACAAGTATTGCTTTTGTTTTTATGGAAAATTACATAAACTATATAAACCGTGAGTTCTGTCTATTGGGACCTTTATAGACATGCTCAGTTACATCATTTGGACTTTTATTAAAGGCCAGAGGGGAGAAATAAAAATAGTCCATTAAACAAGTCCTCTGTCATTCTAGAAGGACTGAAGTACAGCTAATATTTGGGTCACACTGGTTTTTCCTTTGTTCTCCTCGCTCAACCATCAGGCTTGTGGCAAAAGCAGAGACTGGGCCACCTCCTCAAACCTGGCACCAGGTGCTCTGGCACTGGATAGTGGGCAGACCCCAAAGCTCAGCTCAGAGCGCCGGCCTGACCTGCTCCACTGTAAGCTCCCTGAGGGCAGGGACCTTGTTAATGGTCTTACGCAATTGGGAATCCCCAACATTTAGCCTAGAGCTTGGCACACACTTATCCCTCTGTGCCAGAAATCAGTTAATTATTGCCTGAATGAATACATGAAGGGATGGAAGGGCGAATGAAAGTGGTTCATGGCAGGTGACTCCACAAAACACTGGGGGGTGCCCGTCCTCTCAGTCCCTTGGTCTCTCTCTGCGCATCCCTCAGCTTCCCGTTCCCACCCGCATCCTTCCCTCACCACCGCCTCTTCCCGAAGCCGTACCCTTGGCCCTTGTGGCGCTCATCAGAGCGAGTCCAGTCCTCCTCCTTCCGACAGGTGGTCAGATTTCATCACCCACCCCTTTCAAATTATCTTAGGCCACGTGACCGCTCTGACCAATCACATGAGAGTAGTGGCGTGCGTCCCGCCCACGGGGAAACTTGCGGAGCTGGTGCCCGATGTGCAGTTTTCTGCCTCATCGACCGTGAGAGCAAGTGTCAAGATGGAAGTCCCGTCGGGCTGGACCTTTAAGTGACTCAGGGGCTGGGCCCCTGATGACCAATGTTAAACATGCAGCTCAGGCAGTCTGTGTGCGCTATCAACTCCTGTTTTTAAGCCCCTGAGATTTGGGGCTTGTTTGTTAATGCAGTCTAACCTCGCCCACCCGGTCCCTCCCCAGGACCGATGCGGAGGATGCTGGTAACAGCCGCCACCCACGCTGCGGCCACTGTCACCACCACTGCCACTCACGGGCTCACACGGGACAGTCATGCTCACTCTTCACAGAACACAAATCCTGCGAGGGTGGCGCTATTATCCTCCCCGTTTTACAGCTAAGACAGTTTTATGGAGGTGCAGCGACTAGCCCTGTGTTAGTTAGTGATAGAGCCTGGACTCGGACCTGGAAAGACACCATAAATCCAGAGATCCTAAACTAAGCAGCCTCCCAGTTTTCAAAGAACCCTTGCGTCCTTTGGAATCCCTTACTATGGAGCTATCAGATGCCAAAAATGCCCTGAACAAGACCAGGAAGGAAATAAAGAGCTACCCAGCACTTCTGTCTCTGCAGTTTTTTGTATGTTTCTCTAGGTAATCAGTTTCATAAAACGGAATCAAATATACTGCTTTTTTTCTCTCTCAATTCTATGAACTTCTTGGAAAGATAGAAAATAATTGTCAACATTCTTTTTTTAAAAAGATTTATTTTATTTTAGAGAGAGGGAAGGTTGGGGGAGGCAGAGGGGGAGGGAGAGAGAGCCTCAAGCAGACTGCCTGCTGAGCGCAGAGCCTGACACTGGGCTCAATCTCACCATCCTGAGATCATGACCTGAGCCGAAATTAAGAGTTGGAGGCTCAACTGACTGAGCCACCTAGGCATTCTGATTGTCAGGCATTCTTGTGATACATTAGGGAGTTTAATTAACATGAGATAAGAACAGTAATACTGGTAGTAGAAACTCATACCAATGACTTACAGCTCTACTTTATGTGTATTATTTCATTTAAAGGCATACAACACTTATGCAGTTATTATGCCCATTTTCAGATGAGAAAACTAAGGATAAGTAGGCTAAGAGACTAGATCAAGAAGTAAGGAAGGGAGAGCTGGGATTTCACTTCAAGACCTCTGTCTCCAACCCCCCCTGTGGCACATAGTGGTATTTCAGCCACCGCTGGTAACAATGAGCTCACTGGGATTGAGAGTTTCCTGCACATCAGGACTTAAGGAGGATTATCTTTGTGACAACTGCAACACTAAAAGACAGATGCTATTGTTATCCTCATTTTATAGGTGGGGATTATCACCCCATTTTCAGTAAGTTGAGGCATGGAGAAATTAAGTAATAACACAGCATTTATATCAAACATTGAGAGAGTAAATTGCACATGCGTACTGTCACTTCCTGGGTAACCCCAGTTTTCAAGATCCATCTCTGCATCTCATTGAATCTGCTAATACATTCCTCTCTTTCTCTGATAGACATGTAAGACCTTGGAGATGTGTGTGTGTTGGGGGGTGGCTACTGTTTGGTCCCAGGGTCCCCATGCAGGTACTGAGCCTCTGCAGAAGCAGGGACTCTCTCTTGGCTTCAATTCAGCACAGGCCCAGCCTCTTGGGTTGTGAGCTGTGATCTCCTCACTTACTTTCCAGAAAACTGTAGATCACACTGTCACTTTCTGTCTAGGCTGCCCTTCATTCAGTGCACAAATACCAACAACAAAACCCTATTTAATATCTCCAGACAGGGAAACCCAAATCCTGCCTTTGGTCACCACTTTGTTTTTCTCTGCTGTATTGTTTTATTGCCTTGGCTGGCTCATCTCTTCTCCTACTCATGTGCTGCTCAAATGACCTCTCTATGCATTCAGTCTTTCACACTCTTTGGTTCATCTTCACATGCCATGGAGACAGTTGTCAGGCAGGGAGGAGTAGGGAAGGGTCCTAAATGCAATGTCTCCTTAACATTTGAAAAGATGCTCAACCTCACTCTAAGGAAATATATATATATAATATATATATATTAAAACTGCAATGAGAAAATATTTTTCATCCATCAGATAGGCAAAATCCAAGTTCAAGGACACATGAGGCTCAGGCAAAGCAGGTATTCTAGTACCTTGCTGGTGGAAATGCAAAATGGCACAATTCCTGTAAAAGGAAGTTTGGTAATGTACAGCAAAATTCCTGTGCATTCACTCTCTGACCCAGCAATTCTGCTTCTAGAACTCAATCCCAAAGATATTCTTGCAAATCTACGAAAAGACATATATATGTACAAGGCTATCCAAAGCGGCGTGATTTATAGTAGCAAGAGAATGGAAAGAGCCCAAATGTTCCACAATAGGGAGCTGACTGAATGAACTGGAATAATCAACAAGATGGATGATGCAGCTATAAACAAAAAAAAAGAATATTCTATATAATGTCCTGGAGTAGTCCCCAGAATATATTAGTAAGTGAAAAAAAAAGCAAGGCAAAGAGGTAAAAAATAATCGTATGGTTCCACTTATTGAAGAGAGGGGTGGGAGACACACACATATATTGACCCATATTAACAACTGGATGAAAGAGTGAGGTCCAAACTCAAAGATTATCTATGGAAAGGAGGGAACAGGGTAGAGAGGAAAGGGATAAAAGCTAGACTTTCTCAGAATGTATCTTCTTTTAGAGGTTTAAGTTTGGAACTATGTAAATACTTTTCACAACTAAAAAGGAGGATTTAAATTTGATAAGCAGTTTCTCAAAACTCAAAAGCAGAGTGAAATAAATGAATACGGGACTATATCAGTTGGTGGCATAATCACACATGAAGAAACTGGCGAAAGAGATTTTAAAACATGGCCATCCTTAGTAGGATCTAGGAACAAGAGGGATAGAAAGTAAAACAACTTAAACCATTTTCAGTCATCACACTGATGTCAGTAGTGGTTGTATCATTCTCTGAGTCTTGGATATGCAGTAGGGAATGGGAAATTGTGCTGATGTTGTAGGAAACTGGAATTTTCAGCAGAAATGAACACAGGTACAGACAGGACATCAAGAAAGTAAAAAAGAAAGTATTCTTACATCTGAAATGAAATGAACCCATCACGCACTTTATCTTTAAAAAACAATTCTTTAGCTCTGTTCATTGAAAAGCCTTAGAGACAAGGGCCAACTCAATAGGAATAATTACCTACAGTGCCCAGATTCTCAATATCATTTTCCACCAAAAAGGGACCAGGGCTCCTTGGAGAAACGGCTGCTTCCAGGTCAGGGACAGAAAATACTCAAATTGAGGTTGGACCACTTTCAGAAAGTTCCCACCGGCCAATGGGACAACTGGAGTGTCGGTTAGAGTGATAATTGCAATGGATTTAAATACACAAAATATGTTTAAAGCCACTGAACTGTAATGATATTTTAAAATGTTCAACTTTAGGAGATGTCAGGGAATCAACTCATTGAATAAAAACCTGTAAATAAAGGAAAATAATTAAGTTTTTCTCTGCCTTTCCTTCATGAATTATACCTCAGGGTAACCAAATAGTTGATAAGGGCGAGTTTTCTTTAAGTATTCCAGCTTATAAAAGAAGATGAAATGATAGCATGTGGGCATTTTGCAATCCCATCTATGGCTCCTAACATCCTCAAATGAGAGACAACCAGACATTATGCGTCTCTGATGGTGGCACAGAGCCCTGCCTGTAGAATAGTCCAGTCGAAAAATGGAACCTAAATCTGATTAGGTTTTTAGATCCTACTGCCAATTAAAGGAAATACAAGAGAGAGAGGATCATGTTAAACAACCTCCCAGGGACATAGTGGCCAAAATTCAGAGTGCAGGAGACACCTCAGAATAAATGACCTGGCTTCTTCCACAAAAAATAACAAGGGGTGGGCATAGAGGTCCACAGATTAAAAAAAATGACACATATGTGCTACCTGTAGTGAGTAAACCTGAGCAGGATTCTGATTTTTAAAAAAATATCTTTAAAATAAAATATCTTTATAAATAAAATAAAATAAAGTGGAAATTTGTATTAAGTGATTATTT